ATTATTATGCAACAGATCTGATCATTTTCAGGTTATATTACATCAACCCAGGTCTTATTTTCTTCACAAAAACCAGGACAACCTTTGAGTCGTAGAGTTACTGACACCACTGGCTGTTTGTTGTCTCCTTAGGTTTCCACAGCAGGATGAAAGCTCAGCTCTGAACATCACCTCAGTATGACATCATCAGGCCCTGCCCTATCCTCTCCCCCCCTCCACCATCATCATCATCTTCATTACCTTCACGTCTTCTTCTGCACTTTCTACCAATATCATCTGTGGCCCCGCCTACTGCTATCTCTCTGCCTCTGGACTGGCGGACAGGTGGTCCAGGTGAGCGCTTCTCACCAGCACTTCCACCCCCACTCCATAAAGATACCAGGTGACATCACTCTGGGCGGGCTGTTCCCCATCCATGCCCGCGGACCCCACGGTGTAAATTGTGGGGAGCTAAAGAAGGAAAAGGGGATCCACCGCATGGAGGCCATGCTGTACGCTCTGGACCAGATTAACAGCGACCCTGAGCTGCTGCCAAATATCACACTTGGGGCCCGGATCCTGGACACCTGCTCCAGAGACACCTACGCTCTGGAACAGTCACTCACCTTTGTTCAGGCTCTTATCCAGAAAGACACATCCGACATTCGCTGCTCCAATGGCGAGCCGCCCATCATCCGAAAGCCGGAGAGGGTGGTGGGAGTGATCGGAGCGTCAGCCAGCTCTGTGTCGATCATGGTGGCCAACATCCTGCGGCTTTTCGAAGTAAGAGCACGCCTGTCTTTATACAGCATGAATATAGAGATTATAGCGAGTTAGCCCTAAAGATGGTTAAAATAACTGGAGGTTGTGAAGTATTGAACTAAAAACTGAGAGATTACTCAGTATTTACTCCACACAGAGCAAAATACATCAAATGTCTTGTTTTAGATTATATGGGGTTCATAAACACACTGGTGCTGGAGACTGGTGCACACAATAATATTGAATTTTTGGAGGATGTTGAGCTGAGAGATGCTTCTCGCCTCACACGCTGCAGATCATTTTTTCAGGACTTCCATCTTCCTCTTTGAAGACTCATTCTGTTGAAAGCCCCTCCGGCTCACTGATAACGGGCTCTCGCTGCTCTCCAGTAACCACCAGGCTCACTGGATGATCCTGTTAATAAAATCTTAATTTAAGATTAAAATATGACACATATCAAACTGACTTTCTACTTCAAGAACAAACCGAGCTGCTGATCCAACATCCTTAATTAAATTCAGCACAGACATAAGTTTCTGACTTTCACTCAAAAGTAAAAAAGGCTAAGTCTGCATTTTTATTTCAGTATAGGAAACAAAATTTTTCCATGAATATAGAGATAATGCTTTAACAGGCAGAAATACAGCGGCGAGCTTTGGGATGTCCTCGCT